TATAACCTAACACAGAAAGAACAAACAAAAATAAAAGTAAACTGAGCTTATCCTAAGTGTGAGAACATTTATGTTGCTAAAAATCATCTCATTTATGAATATATATCCTTTTCTCATAGCTTGACTTCTAGATTCTAAGAAACATCCATCCAAGTGAAATTGGGGGTGGGGATAAGAAACAGGCATGGTCTTTCCCAGTCAGTCATTCACCCTCTTTGAGTCTCAATTTTTTCCCCTATAAAATGGGGATATTAATATCAAGCTCAAAGTCATCTAAAACTTGATATACCAAGTATTCTCAGAGCATTTAATTAGTATTTTTCTGTCTCTGTCTCTCCTCGCTTTCTCTCCTTTCATTTCCTCTCATCTCCTCTCATCATCACCTATTCTTACTTCCTCCCTTACTCTCATTCCCTCCCTCCTTGTCTCGCCACATATATAAGAATTCAAGAAAATAACTTTGTTTTACATAACAATTAAATGACACTGAGTGGCCCCATGGAACACAAGTATACTTGTTTTCAAATTGCTTTAATTTGAAATAAATACTCTGGCACTATACAACAATAAAGACTAATGTCTACTTCTGGTTAATAGCTACAATCATTGTTTTACTAGAACAATTATTTGTAATTCTACCCACAAATATATTCATTACAGTAAGCTCTTTTCCATTCCATTTTGAGAAATATTGATGTAGCGTGACCTCCTACTAAGAAATACCAGGTATAAGTCCCAAGTATATTTGAATTTAAGTATATTTTCTCTTATGGCATGGTAACAATCATCAAATTAAAGAACAGAGAATCTTCATTCAAATAGATAAACAGTTTCAGTTAATCTTAGACAAGAAAAAGTGATCTTTACCTAGTTAATTTGCTAAAAATCGGTCCTTGTTTCCAAGTTCATATTTAAGTCTACAGTTCATAAATAATATATCTCAAATAACATTTTCTGAAGTCAATAACTAAAACACTGTATCCATTCTAAAAAAAATAAGTCCCTTTAGAAATGTCATTTTTGTTTAGATTATTGATCCCATCCTGTTGGCAGAGCCAAAGTGGTTAGCAAGACTATTTCAGGGACCTGGAACCGACACTTTTATTGGCAGTGAGACAGCAGATTACCCAGATCTCAAATGAGAAGACACAGTGGCCAGGTCTACATCACTCTAACATTCTACTGACGTGCAGCACAGATGGTGAGATATGTTGATGGATGAGGTTGTCTTAAGCAGTAGAGTTATCTTAGTCTGGCCAAACATTTTAGTTGAATGACCTATTAAAATTGGCTGTGCCAAGGCCACTGGAGAGATTTATAAGTAACTAAATTCGTTAAATGTCAGATTCTCTAAACATTTATGAATATATATTCTTTTCTCATAGCTTGACTTCTAGTTTCTAAGAAAGATCCATCCAAGTGAAATTGAGGGTGGGGAAAGAAACACAAGTATAGAGTGGGAAAGGAGGAAGTATAGGGATTGGGAGAATATATGAAACAAAATGATCTCAAAATACTAAGAGGAATTTTTAAGGGGGAACATTAGTTTAAAAAGGCTAACTTAAATTTGAATTATGTAGGATAGTTTCCTTATACATCAGGATCTATGAAGAACTGAAAATTTGCTAACAGTTTATAACTTCTCCCCTATATTTATTCTGTAGGAGACAAGCTAATAGAAAAAAGCATTGGATTAAGGGTCATGGTAATTGGGTTCTTGTATAACCTTCACCAGGGCATCCAAACTTTTGGAGTACCAGTTTTCTCGACTTATAAAATGAGAGTGAGTAGATGGTCTAAATTCTCTCTTACAACTATTAAATTTGCTTTTCAGCTCACTACCCCAGACCTCCAATTTTATGATCAGGGATATTTTAAACTTACTGAGAAGCAGTAAAACACAATGCTAAGTACTCAGTCTCTAGAGTTACACAGACTTATTTTAATTTTATCTTTATCACATACATGTATATGGCCTTCATATCATTATTACTCAGTATTTATTGAGTTTTGAGGTCGTCTATAAAATGGAGATAATAGTACTCAACATGCAAGCTGTTCTTAGATTTATTTTAATTGCACTTATTACCTTTTATTTAACTTGTTGTCTGTAATGTCCATAGAATAGTGATTGTTGTCTGTTTTAGTCACTGTTGTCTCCCAGTATCTTAACACAGAGTAAAGGCACTCAATATTTGTCAAATGAATAATTAAACAAAACAATGCATATAAAGTTCTGAGCATAATACTGGGCATATAGCATTTGATAAATGATCCTATAAATGGTTTTATTAATACCCAGAGTGTCACTTCACTATTAAGAAGCAAGAATGAAAGAAATAAAAATGCTTCAAAGAGAAGATGAAGGGGACTGAAGACCATACTGTTGTTTCCAATTATTTGAAAGAGTATCATATGTTACTTTCCAAAAAAATAATATGATCCAATGGGTGGAGACTTCAAGGAGTTATTTATTAATTCAGAGTAAGGAAGACTTTTCTAAAAAATTGCTCAAAGATGAAATGAACTGGTGCTCAAGTCAATGTTCAATTCTTATCAGCCAATCAATGACTGTATTAATAAATCTAATTAAAGGTTATCAAACTATCACCTTATGCATTAAATAATTTGAAGAGAAGTTGTTATAAATAGCATATACAGAATAAATTTTAAAAACATAGGAAATACTGAATTATTTCCTTATTGTGCTGTTGACAATAAAAAAACAGATGGAAAATAACAAATAAAGTATCAATCAATTTTCTTTGTGTACATGCAATCAAAAAACATTTAGTCATTGACAAATTAGGGCTAAAAACAAATGCTGTTGATTTGTCTTATTGATGTCGGCCAAAAAGCAGATAGGGGGCACAAAATCCCTTATTCCCTATCAGAAAGGCAGGATTGTTTAAGGCCAGCTTTTTCTTTCCTGTTCTTTTACCCCAGTTGCAACACTGCAATTTGGAATTTAAAAATCTTGGCAGTGGAAATGTCCTGGTTGTATGGAACTAACTGGTGCATCACTCTTGCCAACTGGGAATGATTTTAGATAAAAATGCATGACACTGATGAAAAAGGAATCTCACTCAATATCACTTTTATGAAGGATAGTAGCCTCACATTAAAATAGTGCCATCAATCTACTGCCATCAGGTCAGACAGAAAAGAATTAGGTACATAAAGTGGCAATCATAAAATATAGCCAAACAGGAGCTATGTCTGATCACAGAAGGTCATTTAAGCATCTGGAAAAACAAAGGAACCATGTTGTTTTTTATGTGATTTGTTTTGGAGAGAGAGAGAGAGAAGAGAGAGAAGAGAGAGAAGAGAGAGAGAGAAGAGAGGAGAGAGAAGAGAGAAGAGAGAAGAGAGAAAAGAGAGAAGAAGAGAGAAGAGAGAAGAGAGAAGTGAGAGAAGAGAGTGCAACGTCAATTGGCTGCCTCCTCCAAGCCTCCTACTGAGGATCAAGCCCAATACTGCAAAGTTGAGCTTGTGCCCTGACTGGTAACCGAACCAGCAACCTTCCTTTCAGTGCACAGGATGACACCCAACCAACTAAGCCACACCAGCCAGGGCCATGTTTTTGTTTTATTATTTTTAAATGAGCTATCAAAAATTAATCACAAGTGAGTTGGGTTTCTATTTTGGACAGTCATATTGAGGAAGATGCAGTGGTTCTGACGGTTTTCAATAATCTTTAAATTGGTCACCTGCTGAGAAAAGATATGTGATCACATGATAACTTTTCCAAGGTACAGTGGGGCCTTGACTTACGAGTGTCCCGACTAAGGAGTTTTTTAAGATACCAGCTGTCTCTCGGCCAATTTTTTGCATTGAGTTGATAGAGTAATTTGAGTTAACCAGCTCCTTAACGAGCTCGGTCTCGGAACAAATTAAACTCGTAAGTCAAGGCCCCACTGTATAGAACAGTGAACTGCACTCACACATTCAAGCTATGGTGTCATCTGACTGATGGGAATAGTTAATTTTATGTGAAAACTTGCCTGGGCCATGAGGTGTCCAGACATTTATTTGGCCAAACATTATTCTGGGTGTGTCTATGAGGGTGTTTCTAGATGATATTAACATTTGTATTCATAAACTGAATGATGCAGATTTTTCTCCCTAATGTGAGTGGGCCTCATCCAACCAATGGAGGATCTGAATGAAACAAAAAAGCTAAGTCAGAGGGAACTCTGCCTGTGTGCCCACATGAATTAGGACCTTGGTCTTTTCTGTTCTTCACACTTGAACTGAAACATTGTCTCTGCTGGTCTCAGGGCTGCCAGCTTTTGGACCAGAACTACAATATCGTCTCACCTGGGTCTTGTGATATATATACTAGCACTCACACTATCATTTCTGTTTCTCTGAAGAACCCTAATACACTGGTTCAACATCAGCAGGGAATGAACTGAGTTGTGCCAATCAAGTGGGTTATCCAGACAATTAAAGTCAATCCTATAGAAGTTAATCTTTTAGAAACTTGTCTGGTAGCAATGTGGGCAACCGGGCAATGTAATAACACTTTTGTTATATAAAATAATGAGCCAATTTTCCAATGCTTCTAAATATTAGTTATGTAAGCAATTCCTTGCTTTCAAACCCCAAATTCTATGATTCTATCATTATAAAACAAGCTTATGTAGCCATTCTCAAAATCAATTTCAAAAGCAACAGCAAAAAGTTTCAAATGTGTTTACTTCCCAAGGGAACTATGCAAGCATTTAGGAATCCATCTCGTTTCCTACAGTCACTTTCTGGAGGACTTACGTACTCATCTTCTTTATGTTTATTCCCGTTATCCTCATTCATCAGCACATGACCTATCTACTTACTTTCCATGATTATTTCCAGGCTCTGGTGTTTTATATTTAAACTCTATTTCTACTACACAGATTAAGCTTCCAAAGCAACTATCCTTGTGGACCTGAAGATAAACTTTGATGCTGCCAAATTCCTGGTATTACCTCCGTGTGAATTTTCTTATTGTCACTCACCTTCCCAGAAGCAGAAATTCTCCAGCTAGACCCAGGCGCCTCATGGCCATCAACAGTCCTCGCACGGTCATGCCCTCACAGAAGCAGGCTACAACCCGGGCCTTGGGCAAGTGGCTCCTGAGCTTCTTCAGCAGCTTATCGAAGCTCTGCTCCCCCGCGTTGCTGTAGATTTTGTAAGAGTGAGCAATGCAAATCCCTTCCTTGGCTGACATATCTTTGAAAGCTTCCATTCCACTTTCTCCGTAGTTGCCTGTGTGAAGACAGATAAGCAGAGGGGTAGTGAAATGGGAGTGTTGGGTTCATTGGTACAATTAGAAGGCAGATGTGCTGGGAGGTTGAAGGTTCTTCGTAGTCTTGGATTTGTAACCTGAAGACCTGAATGAGTTTTTGCTCTTTTACTGACTTGCTCATTTGGAGCAATTTACAATAAAACTACATTATATATATTCATTGAACTTTTTCTAAATCCTCACTCAAGGATATGCTTTTATTGATTTAAGAGGTAGAGAGAGATGTGTGTGTGTGTGTGTGTGTGTGTGAGAGAGAGAGAGAGAGAGAGAGAGAGAGAGAGAGAGAGAGATGTATGTGAGAGAAACATCAGTTAGTTGCCTCCTGTATGCGCCCTGAGTGGGGATCGAACCCACAGTCTGGGTATGTGCCTGACCAGAATTTGAACCTGAAACCTTTTATTTTTTTATTTTTAAAAAAATATATTTTATTGATTTTTTGACAGACAGCAAGGGAGAGGGATAGAGAGTTAGAAACATCGATCAGCTGCCTCCTGAACACCTCCTACTGGGGATGTGCCCGCAACCAAGGTACATGCCCTTGACTGGAATCGAACCTGGGACCTTTCAGTCCACAGGCCGAAGTTTTATCCACTGAGCCAAACCAGTTAGGGCTCACCTGAAACCTTTTAGTGTAAAGGACAATGTTCCAACCAACTGAGTCATTGAACTTTTAAAAAATTTTCACTGAGATAGAGAATAATATTAAAAGCACAATTCAGCTACCCTTTGATACAAAAAAAGCTTATATTCTAGTGTAAGATGATGAGATAGATTTATCTATTTTTTCTTCTATATTACTTCCCTTTGCTTTTCATTTATGACCATATCACCCCACTGATTAGTGTATGTATACACACACACACACACACACACACACACACACACATACTGAGTGGCCAGATTATTATGACTATCCCATCAGAACTTCGTTGGGCCACCTTTTGCCTTCAATACTGCAGCGATTCTTCTTGGCATTGACTCCACGAGATGTTGAAAGGTGATGCAAGGAATCTGACACCATGCCTGATGAATAGTACTGTCCAGTTCTGTGAGATTTGATGGTTGTGGAACCAGCTGCCTGATGGCTCTTTTAACTTTGTCCCACTAATGCTCAATTGGATTGAGATCTGGCGATTGTGAGGGCCACCTAAGCAAGGTAAAGTCTCCCTCATGTTCTTGAAACCACTCCTGCACAATACGAGCACCATGGCATGGCGCATTGTCTTGTTGGAAGAAGTCATTTCCGTTGGGATACGCCATCAACATGATAGGATGAACTTGATCAGCAATGATACTTAGGTATGTTGTGCTATTCAGACGTTTATAATGATCTGGCCCTCTAGCAACTTCAGCAGGAAATTATAGCTAATTTGCCTACAGATGTCAGGTGGTCATAATAATCTGGCCACTCAGTGTATATATATTATAGATGATGTACAAATATCTTATGGTGTATTATATTTTAGATTATGCATATTTTATTAATAATCATGAGAATTTGTGGTTTTTGTCCCAACTGAAAAATTCAGATCCTTGAGATTTTAGTAATGTCATAGTTAAATGTATAAGCTTATGAAACGCATTTAAAGTTTCATTCTATATAACCATAGGAAAGTTAGCTATATTAGGGAATAACTGAAAATTTCTGAAAAATGTAGGGGCTAAGGATTGTTGGCAGTCTTTTAAAATTAACAGAAAATGGGGATCAATATTGACTATCGACTGTTTGCTAGGAAGTGTAAGACCTTTGTATATATGATTGCATTTTACTTTCACATTAATATTTTGAGATATGCATATGACCTCCATGCTACAGATGAGAAAACAGGTGAAGCAGTTAGGTTTATACTCCCCAGAGTTTCACGTGCAGTAGGTGGAAGGCTGCACTCCATCCACAGATCTAAGAGTAAAGATTCTGCTCCCTGCATTCTTCTATGGCTGACTTATAAGAGAGTCAGAAATCCAATTATATCTGCATTTCTCCTTCCCATTTAAATGTTTCAATTTTAGATACTGTTTTTTGAGCCTTTTAAGGCTCTATAGCTCATACTGGGCTCATTTTCTGAGTTTTCAAGAAATTAGATGGGTGAGGGGCATTGATTTGAAGAATACAGGAGACTATTGTGTGACCCAAGCTGAGGGAAGTATAAAGATGTAACTGGCCTCACAATCAACCATACCTAGGAACTGGAATTTCATCAGAAGGAGATATCAAATGAATAAGAGAGTATAAGGCACTCATTTGCATAGGTTTCACTATATGACCATATTAGAGATAACGTATAAATAACTATACCTGTACAACATTTTTAATTTTGGAAAGTCAGTCCATATATATTACCTCACTGCTCCTCACACCTAGTCTGTGACAAATGTAATATTTTCCCCTCTCAGCAGATAAATCTGAAGTCACATTTAGCAAGTAGGTGGCAGAGTCTTGGTTTGAACATATATCTTCTCCCTTCTAGGCTTATATGTGCTCCACAGGTACCTTCTACTAAGGAGATACTTGAAGTTGAGGTTGGATTTTTGTGCAGTTTTACAGGGCAAAGTAGAGCAGGCTATCTGAAGTCCCAGCTAAAAATGCCAGGGGGCCAGCTGCACCTTTCCTTCTCCAGAAATAAAGCAACAAGGACCCTCTATGATGATGGCAGATGGGCAATGTAGTTATTTTGCAATTAAGAAAGTTTAAAGGGCTCTCTCTGAAAAATGTGCCAAGGGGCCTAAATTACTAGTTTTACACTAATCTGAGTAACCTATTTTCTGATTTATTTTTAGCCAATTCTAGTTTCAACTGACTGTCTTGAACTTAACGTTTTGATTAATGCTGGGGCATTTGCATAAATAATTTAAAGTTAGATATATAGCAATTGTGATGACATCAATGAACATTCTCAATACATTCACAGTTAAAACAAGAAACTATACCCAACAAATTCATAATCTTTATCTCCTCTCCTAAAAGCTTTGTTTTAACATTGTTTTCGTTTATACAGTAAGTTACATGGAAGCAGCTTGTGTATAGGGAGGGAACTTAGTTATTAGGAAGATAAGAGTTCTAATTCAGCTTGAACAGTCTCTCTAAATCTCCGTTTTTCTCTCCTGAAAATCAGAGATAACACTGCTTAACATATGGGCATTTTGTGTATTACATTTAACATATGTAAAATAGCTGACAGGTAGCCTGAACCCAATCAATTGCACCCATTGGGATTATAAAAAAATATTCTAGGCATAGTTAAGCTGCTCTCTCTTGGAACACCTAAAACAAATAATATGGCAAATGCATTAGCACTGAACAATAGACTAAAGGAAACATGATTTTATCTGATCAAAGTCCAAGTAGTACACTTTAAAATTGAAATGGAAACAGTCTTAACAGATGTGAGACATAAAAATTCTGCAGAGTAATATTTTAATAAAAGAAGCCCATTGAATGCTGGGGATTAAAAATAGGAATATATGTTTTCTAATAAAGTTGGGAAGACTGAAGTGTTGAGATTTTCAGTAGTTGATAAAATGACTGCATTCTGGAACTGCACAATTAAAAAAAAGGAGAAACTAAAAAAAAAAAGTTAATAGGCTTCTCAAAGGAAATGAAACAGATTTCAAGCGAGGTACAGAATGAGGACAAATCTGAAAAAGCAAATTTTTTTTCAACAGTGAAACAAAAATGATTAAGAAAGGAAGATACAGGGTAGAATATCAAACTAGCCTATAACTTCATTTTAAACAACTGGTAAAAGTAAGAAGGAACCCATCAGACATTCTTCTTTAAGTAGTAGAGGGTCTGTGACTTGGTATGATAACAAGAAATGTAATCATAGCCTGACTTGACTCAGCTCACACTATAGTTGCAATGATGGAAATTTCAAATATTGATTTATTTTTATTTTTGTTAATCCTCACTTGAAGATATTTTTTTCATTGAGAGAGAGTGGAAGGGAGGAAAGATGGAGACAGAGAGAGTAACATTGATGTGAGACATATTGATTGGTTACCTCCTGCACGAGTCCTGACCGAGGCTGGGGAGTGAACCCACAACCCAGGTACATGCTCTTAACCAGGAATTGAACCTGTGACTCTTTGGTTGATAGGCCGACACTACCACTTAGCAACACCAAGCTGGGCTCAAATACTGATTTTTAACTTTTGTAAATCCACAAAAATACAATATGAAAAACTCATTATGCAATAGAATATGTATGTGATCAATATTTACTATGAAAATTAGAGAGTAAGATGATAGCTTGAGAGGTGGGGGCAGGAAGAGCTGGTGGAAAGGGGGAGGGTATTAAAACCTTCTGCTCCCAATTTGGAAGTAATAAACAGGAAAAAAGAGAGATGATTAAGGGGATTATTTCAAGCTAAAAAAAATAAGAAGGAATTAATCTAATATTATTAAGTGAAGAAATGAGAAGATGTGTGAATCAAGAGATGTCTATTGTTAATAAATTTAAAAGGTAGGCATTTAAACCATAGTATATTCATACCACTTAGAAATAAAAAGGTAAAAACACAAAAACATAAAATTCGCTTTTTTCTTAAAGCCCTTCTACACTATTTGACTTTGAAAAATAGGAAAGGACAAGTTTGATGGAAAAATTTAAATAACATAGTTGAAGCTGTTAAAACTGGAGAGTAGATATGGATAATTTTAAATGAAGTGACAGGTAAACATCAACAAATAAAGAAATTTGTCATGTTGATATTGAGGACAAAATTTTCCTATAATATCCTTGAATCAAATGTAAAAGAGTAAATATTAATTTATAACTTTTTTTAAAAAATATATTTTATTGATTTTTTACAGAGAGGAAGGGAGAGGGATAGAGTTAGAAAAATCGATGAGAGAGAAACATCGATCAGCTGCCTCCTGCACACTCCCCACTGGGGATGTGACCGCAACCACGGTACGTGCCCCTGACCGGAATCAAACCCGGGACCATTGAGTCCGCAGGCAG